GAACATAATAATCAGCCAACATTGTTAAATCATCTTAAAAAAAATTTCTTTTTCTTTTAAATAATTAATGCAAAATAAAAAAGCGAACCATATCAGTAAAATGTCCTAAACCATATCCATTACAACATCCCCAAACATCAGATATTAACATTCGTGCTCGATTATAAAAACTAACTAAAAATGAAGAAAAAGAAAAGATTCGGTATATTTGTGAAAAAGGATTAAAATCTTATTGTCCTCGACGGTGTGCGTGTCAAATGTCTCTCAACTCACATTCACACCCACACCCATAAATGTAAGGAAGTGACTATGTACACATATGTGTACATAGCCACTTGGCTATGTACACACGAGTGTATATAGCTGACTGACTATATGCACATATGTGTATATAGCCCTTTGGCTATGTACACACAGGTAGATATAACCAATATATTAGTAAATATGAAGTCATATTATAATATTATATGTTTTCGTTGATTAATATATATTAAATATTTAAGCTTTTTCATAATTTTATTAATTCTTTATTGCATACAAATAAAGTATAAGTCAAATAAAGGTCAACAACTCAACAGCATATCTAGTGCTTTCTCTCTTTGGTTTTAAACGAAACAATTGAGTTTCATTATTTTCAATACATTTAACATAATGATCACGTAAAAGATATCTGATCATAAAACATTAAAGATGGAACATCTCTATCTCTAATGCTTTATCTGTTTAAACTGAATAATTCTTATAAACTTCCTCATTTTTGGATCGTTATGAGTTAAATTTTGATTTTTCATAAAAACAATTTTATTTAATTCCGTATAGCGTTTTAAAACAAGTAACGCTCGTCTATGGACTCGCTTAGCTCTTTCTCGTAGAAGAACTATTTTCTTATTATCAGCAAATTATTCATTTAATATACATATGTTATTCATCTCTGGCTCACTCATATTCCTGCTCTCTAAATCATTGAATCATTCCAATCGAGCCCGTAATGAAATCACCCGTTCTTGATTACTTTTGATGAAGCTTTATACAATAAACAAATAACTATTAATTAATTAATTAATAGTTAATTAATGGAAACGGATCACAGATTTAGACTCTTCATCGTTGATTACCTATGGTGAATTTTTATTTAAAATAATAATGATTAATAATTAGTTAATAACTAATTATTAATTAATTAATTAAAACTGATATCAGATTTGAATTCTTTACCTTCAATAACCCGCAGTGAAGTTTTACGAAAAATAATAATAATTCATAATCAATTATTATTTAGCTAATAATTAATTAGTAATAAGTTAGCTAAAACTGAGCTCAGATTTGGATTCCCCTTCTTCGATAAACTTTGGCCAAGTTTTATAGAAAACATTAATAATTAATGAATAGTTAATAATTAATTAATAATCAGTTAAAACTGGTCTTAGATTCGAACTCCTCATCCTCGATTATCTTTTGGTCAAGTTTTATTAAAAATATTAATTAATAATTAATTAATAATCAATAATTAGTTAATAATTAGTTAAAACTAACCGCAGATCCGAACTCCTCATCCTCGATTATCCTTCGGTCAAGCTTTATGGAAAATAATCCTTTTTGTCTTCACCTTCTTTTGGACCAATCACTGAAGTGCGGACATACAAGCAAGCAAACAAACAATTTATTCTCACAAGACACTTCTCTACGAGAAAGAGAATAAATTCACAATATCATCGAGCCGATTCTTGGTTTGGTCTTGATTCATCTTTTATATGTCTTCGAACAGGACATCTATGATGACATACATACATTACATTTTGGTATTGAACATAGTTAAATAATTCTCTCGTTATTTTTTCATTATATTTCATTGAAGAACGTTTTATATTCATTGGTTGATAACAATTAATGCACCAATTTTTAAATTCTTTCTCAAAATGTGCCCAACTATCAAACTGCTTTTTAAAGAGAGAATAATTATCTTGCTTTATTTTTCTGGTTGAAGAATTACGATAAGCACGAAACAATATACTTAGATTTAACTATAATAGCAACATATACCTTTCTGTAACAGACATTGAGAATGATTATGATAGACTTTTTAATAATATAAGAGAATTTATTTAGTACTATAAATGAGGTTATATGAAATCGGTCCATTTTATTATAACAATTATCAATTTATTTCATTTCATTTGAAAAACTATTAATTAGCTCGATAGAGAAAAAGATTAAAGTAAAGATAAATCAATCTATCTTAATAAAGATTATGTTCTCAGATGTCATGTTATTTGACTTTTTCTATTTTTCAGTTTCCTACTTTTAAACCAATCAACTAAGAAAAGAAGATATAAAATTTTTCTTTATATAAGTGATCGACAAAAAAATATGATATAATGAAGAGGGAAGATAAGCGCTAAAACTAGATGGTTATCATGTATTCTATTTAAAATAATGAAATTCAACTGTTTCGTTTAAAACCAATGAGAGAAAGCACTAGAAATGCTGCTGAGTTATTGATCTTTATTTGACTTAATTTTTTTTCTATATGATTTATACTTTATTCGTATGTAATAAAGAATTAATAAAACTATGAAAAAACTTAGATAATTAATTTATATTAATCAACAAATACATATAATATTATAATATGACTTCATATTTACTAATATGTTGATTATATCTACCTGTGTGTACATAGCC